CATGATATGATGTTATGCTTATAGGTGTTCATCGAGAAACTGCGCGGACTGCCTCTAAATAAGTGCAATAAAATTTGTTGAGTATGGGCGTGTTAGTCTTTATTCTTACGAAACAGTGCTTGAAAACAAACACAAAAAGCACTTAATACCTCAAATAAGAATTTTTCAGGATCCGTGGACTACACCGTTGCTATATAACTACTGGGCGCCAAGCGATAAAGCGTTCAACTATGTAACATCTCGCGACAGAATTACAATCCAGGCGGACGAGACGCCCTGAAAGAATAATCGCCTGCCATTTTATGTGATTCATTCCTTATTCAGCGACTGCATCTAAATTTACTAAAGTCTCTAGATGTTTTCAATGCTGATTTCAATTTCAGTCGAAAGCCTTTAGAAGTCCATGCCTGGAAGTATGTATCTATTAGACATATTCTGTCTAGGAACGGTTGAAATGACGAAAAATAAAAGAGAGCCTAATGTGCGTTCAAGACCATACTCATTACCAGGCAAAATACTCTGGACCACTGCAACTAATCAAGTTTAGTCTATAGAGTAGCTCTTACGTCAAAAAGATCGCATTGTAAGTCCTTGCGGACGAGTTAAGAACAACAATGAAATCTAGTTCGTGGCGTATTATGTTATTGTCCTTCTTTTGTATGACCCTACTGAATACAAGCGGGAACTATCGTTTGTGACACATTTTCAACCAAAATTAAAGCACGAAAGCTGCCTCAAGTTACGGTTATTACGATATTCGAGATTTTGCATTACATATTTTGCCAGGACGCACTAATCATATCGATGTTAAAAACCTTTGACAGCACCCAACCATTTCTGATAACCTTAGGGATCATCGAGTAAGAGCAGTTCACCAATTTCTTTCAACCTATATTCAACTTGAATGCAGAATGCACGCAATAAACATAATACACTCATTTGCGAATTAACCTAATGCAATCGGGAGACTCAACAGAACCGCAGGTCACTTCCTCCATCATACATCATATAGTAATAATATATTATATTACACCATATTGCATTACATAATATAGTTTTCTCTGTGCGGTGTCAAAGTTTTCGGCAGCCTGATAAGCACTGTATTGGACAGTATTGGACAGCTTCTGTACAACACATTCAGTTGGAGAATATCCGAAGTGACCGATTCAAATGGAGATCACTTTAGCTTCCAGTTAAAAGTAATCTAATTTGGAAACTAGTTAATTCCCCAGGAAGTTACAGCTAAGGTTCTGGGAGTAGTTACGTTTGAGGGAATCAAGGAGACGGCATCTATCTGATGGACCTGAATAAAAGCGAAATAGACCCTCATAAGTAGTATATCCTTTCTAATATTTTCCCGTTGCGGGAATCACTTGAGTTTTCCGTCCAGTTCAAACAAATGACCAAAACAAAACAAATGTACCAACCTATTCGATGGGTGCGATCTTATCTAATAGAGGAAATCTAACCGGCACATTATTAAGGGGAAAAATGATTTCGTGTCGTGTAGTGTTTCATTCAGCAACCGCAGTGAATTCTTATCACACAGTTACGGTGTTGTGGCGTCTTAAAACGTCCCTTCCCCATAATTTCCACACGGTGTGTTCAAGAAGCAATATCTCATCGAAACATTTAATTGATTGGTTGAAAATCACGTAAACAGAGGTCAACAAGTTTTCAGTGACCTTGTGAGTAGTATATTACCCCTGTAAAGGGTTATTTTACTCTTACTATGATTGCTCTGTGTTGAAGGCCGTTTTGAGCCACTTTTGCAAGTCCTGATAATAAAAACTAGGGCCTTGACTCGGACAAACATTTTGATAAATTATTGCTAATCTTAGAGCAAAAACTTAATCTTCCAAACTTAATTTCAACCGAAATAAATAGCCGAGCCCTTTCATTTGTATTTCAGTGGGGTTCTAAATGTCGTTTACCTCAATCTGTTGGGTATTTTGTAGTGAAAATATAATCAATAGACCAAGAAAATAGGGATCAGATGCTGGAGATGTATTTTGCTATTCCGTTCTCTAAAGTAAGGTCGATGTTGCATTTGTACTGATGGTGGTAACTGCTCTAGCCAAAACGTGCTGCATTGATTTTGGAGCATTTCTTTACCCCCCTAAATGTGTTACCTCCCCGTTCACATCTCCATAAAGTTTTCAAACTTCCAGTTACCACGCAAATCGTCATTAAACTCAGGAAACTTAAGTACTGACGACTGGTGCACCAATTAACCGGGAAAATTTTTATTTCGAACTCGTTCCTGAGGCGCCTTTGTTTCCTTACGATGACTGAAAGAGTGGTGCCCACACTTTTTCAGAGTAGTTTCTTTCATATCTCGCATGGACAAGCATTTTTTGTCAGATAATCATATTGAATTTTTTAGTCAAAAACCTGTGTTCAGCCCCGAATTGTCATTTGTTTATTTGGAATCCTCAACAAGAAGTAGTCGGGCGCAGTGCTATAATTCCCGTGTGTATTCATGACCGTATCACCTCTAAAATGTGAAACCTAGCTTTTAGTATAATTTGACGAGAAAAATAAATGCTTTACCTACAGACATAATGCTGGGTTTTACCCAGGTCTTGTTAAAAAAAGCATGGTAGTACTGTATCGCTTACATGGGAAAGTACAAATAACGTTTCAAACAGCTAAAACCTGAGCTGTAAATTATTCTTTTCTGTACACAAATGCCTGGTAAAAAAGCATTAGTGTTTTTTTGGAGAAGGATTATAATTTTATTGGTCTAAACAGTCGGAGTTGAGATTTTGGTTCCAGTAGGTCAGTACATAAAAAGTAGCGCTGATAAGAAAGCCGTTCATTTAATCTAATAGGAGAGGATCCACTGCTTTAGTGTACAATTTTTTCTAACTGAAGCCTTTTCTTGCAAACGTGATGGTACACTTAGCTAAGAAATGCAGACTGTCAAACTTTATTGAAGACTGAAGGTGCGACCTCAAATTAATTAAAAGAAGATGGATATTCCCTTGTTGTCTCATTTGTGGTTCTCGTACAGGTTAGCGACTAAGGATGAATTCTCTGACACTCTCAGTAGTATGATTTACTCGGGTCTGCGCCAAGAGGAAACGATAAATGGTCACACTTTCTGTCTGCGTGATTAAAACATAAGAGTTTGATCGTTAGTGTCTATGTTACTTCATTAGCCCCAAAATGAGGTATCATTTTTACGAACCGGCTCAATATTAGTGAAATTCTGGAGCGGATTGTGTTATATTTGGTAACCAGAATAGCTTGAGTGAATGAGCCTTTCCAGTGAATGTTTTAAGCACCCTTTGAGAGCCTATTGTTGGTGCAGCACTCAGCGTTTCTCTACGAACACATATGGATCCTTGAGTAATTGTCCAGAAATTTAGATAACTGATATATCAGTAAGTAACTGGGTTTGCTGAACAACATACTTGCTTGCCAATTTGTTCTTTTCGCGTTTTGCTTGTTCAATCAGTTTGCAGTCCAGTGGAAGTGGAGATAATCCAGGAGAAAGTTTGTTGAACGGTTCGGGTTGAGTCAGGAACATGGATGTAAGTGAGGTTGGGCCACCAGCTGTTCCGGCAACGATTATCTCACCGTGTTCAATCAGTTGTTGATTGAGACCTTCCAGTTCTTCTCCCATTGCTCGCAATCGTGGTAAATTAGGGGTAACGTCGTTTCCGTCTCCGCGCCGTAATTTTGAACAATGGACTAAGTCGTACCGACGTTGGACAGGATCCTCGAATACTACAAATGGATATTCCGGTAATGATGCTGTTGAAGTAGTTTGCACTGAGATCACTGGCTGGTCCCCTGAATCAAACAGGGTAAGACCATCAAGAAAGCCAGCAGTACTGTCCGGCTGGTCTGCTACTGTCTGTTCACCATGCAACACAGGTCCTTCAAGATCCACGAGTCGTATCGCTTTGGGTCCTTTGCATTGCGAATTATACTGCCAAAAGTATGTGCTACTAGAGGCAAGTGTTTGTTTTGCGGGACCTAAAACGGAGGTTTTGGGGAAGAGAAATAACCGGTGCTTAAGTCAGACCACTTGGTTTTTGACTTTTTGTTTTGATCAGCTTGGCTAGTACATGTCTAAATCACCCCGGACAGCATATAATGGCTGCATAACACTGGTTGGTGGACGCATGGGCCGAAAGACTAAAACTGCTATCCAAGCAACCACGTTTCTTCGGCGAGCCTGGTTGAGGGTGAAGTTCCTCATATGAATATTTTCATTAGGAACTTATACACGATCAGTTACTGAATTTTATAAAGACGTGCATGGTAGACAGCGGGTTGAGTTGATGGACATGCAAAACACCTTAAAATGTGTATGGTATTACTACAGTACAGACAAGCACCATATTGCAACAATTTAACATACACAGGCCCAGATGGAGTAGAGGAAGCAACAATCAAGCAAGCTGTATTCTTTGCCGTTCTCCAAAGTATACATCTGCTACTTGCTCATGTAAATTGAATGGCGTCACTCAAAACAACTATGTGATAGGTTATCACAGTTACCTGTCGTAAGATCATTTCATCTGATTCCGCGTTCCAACGACGCCTATGGTTTTTCCGTCTACCTCATGACCAACATAATTTCCAAGACCTAACGGTGAACCATGCTAAGCATAAATGACAGTGCTTTTGCAGAAGAATCAGTTTATTCCACAGATGGAACGTAAATTTAAGCCATCGGGAATCATTTTCCCTAATGGCTGCAGCGCTATAGGATTGAGTAATTAAATTTTGGACTGACAGGATTCTGTCGTGGAATGTATACAAACAGACATCCAATGTGATAATTCTGCTTCTCGGAAAATGGCGTTTTAATTTAGCAAAGGGAAAAATAGGAAAGTAACCTCACGGAACAAAATGGTCTTCTGTTATGGATTCAGCCTTCCCTGAGTAAAAAAAACTGGCCTTTGTGTGACTCGTTATGGAAATGTACAACCGCGTTTAGTACAAATTATACAGCAAAAGAAAACCGAACCAGCCTGGTTGATTTGGCACTTCGATCCTGTGGATATCGTTTTACTTAAAGGCTGATTTGATCAAAACGTTGAACTAGCATGTGTTTAATTTTGCAGACGTCTGCCTCCCAGTGCTGCTACTCTGGTGAGTTCAAGTTGCTTCATACTTTTGGAATTTCGTCTTCCGAAGAGTTTGGCAAGCAAAAGCCTTTATGTGGAGGTGGAAGGTTGAAAAAGCACTGGAGAAGTTTTGTCTTTAGCTAGGGGTGCCATAACAACAAGTTTTTAGCTTACTTTGACCTTTTTTAAATTCAACAAATTAAATTAAGGCCAAATTCAGTCAGTTGCAAACCAAGTTAGATTCAATGAGAAGTGTGACAGAATCGGAACCTCTTGATTCCGCTATTCTTCAACCGAAATCGGTGCATAAAGATCACTTGAAGATTAGGTCGGTATGATATCCGAGGTATTACCGTATATGTCCCTAGCAGAAAACTAGGTATTAGATCATTGACAACCCTCAGCAGCACACAACCGATTTCACTCAAGTTGAGGCTCATCTGCGGGCTCACTTTCTGAGTTTTTCATTGCTGGTATATTATAACTGAATACGTACGCTAGGCAGCGGGAGTAATACAGTGATTTTCGAACTAATTTAGCGTAACTAAGTTACTCAAACCATTTCAACGGTCTTTGGTGAAAAGATTTCGATCACTTTACTGACAATATGACGGGATTTAATTCAGGTTTCTTAGCTGGTTTGTATTAGAGACAACCTAAGAACCAGAACAGTGCGTACCAAAATGCACTAGAAACATGAAATCCATCCATGGTGTTCGGCTGACGAAACCATCATTACTAATCAACTAAACATAGACTGTGTAAAACTTCAAATCCTGAAGAAGCGTTTTTTAATAAGTGCACTTGTTAGTATTCGTGTGATCCAGGGATTCTCTCCGGACTTGTGGAGTGTTTTCTAAGGACCACTTCTCCCTGTATCAAGGTCATTTCACCAATTATGAGAAGCCGGATCGGTGCGTTCAACCATTCACCACTTGTGGGTCGCCTACGATGACTCCTGTGCGCCTTCAGAACGACAACTGTTAAGCCCTCTGGAAATCAAACTGCCTTTGTGGGTGGTCCTTCCATGTTTGACGGAGATGATGTAGCATTCCAAAGCACATGCATGACTGCCAACAATTTATGCCGACGTCGTCTTAATTTGGACATATCTTCAATCGCGCTTTTGATACAGAACACTTCGATACCATCAACACATGAGTGTAACGGTTCTGAGATCAGATTTTGCAAAAAATATACATGCATGGCTTTTTTGATAACATTTCTCTGTAAGTTTGCATGCAAACAGTCGTTAGTGAGTTATACGTTAACTCTTTGTCGCAATAAAATCAGACTTTCCCCGATAGGTTGTCGGTTGCATCATTGGGCACTCGGAAAGGAATGCAGTCGCTAATAAACCAAATGATCTTTGGCGTATCTCCTACTGTTTTCCCACCACTGGTTGCTATTTTGCCTCGTGGCAATCCACAGAGTATTTGTGTAATAGATATATGATGATCATAACTGCAGTTTGACCCTAACCAGCCTATTTTAAGCTGCAGACTGTTCCTGACTTCCCAAAAGAAATGGGTCTGCTAGAGACCAGGGGTTCGGAATCCACAGGCCATGGATAGACTTAATTTCAATCACTAAGATTAATTATGACATCTAATGATATATGTCCCCGTCCATCCAGGCGGAGCAAAATTAGGATAATTCTTGTCTGTCACAGTGAACTAGAGCTGATATGATTTGCCTCCTCCAGAATGTATACAAAAGAATACAACAAAAACGTGTATCGGTGAGGTCATACTAGTCCGTTCGAAAGAACATTCGTTTACAAAGAAACTAATTTGGTTAGTTGTGAATATGATGAATTCTGACGCTCAATATTTTACTTTAGGACTAAATTTATTCTACCCAGTTCGGCACACGAAGAACTGAAAGCAAGAGTCCTGCACAATGATTGCTCATCTAGTTTAGCCACACAATGTGCCTGCAAGCTACCTTTCCCAAAATGCACTGAAATTCTTGCAATGGCTGCTACTTGTGTTCCCCCAGTTGGAGGAAACAAAATTCTGAGCGAATGTTCTCCAAATCACACTGGACGACGAAATGAGAACTGTAAACTCCGATGCATGAAACAATAGAACAAGTGTCTTTTGCCATTTACGTAAGCCTGACTATCCAGCATGATGCGTATTAATTTACAAATTATCCTGTAAATCATACATGTTTGACTTTGCTTTGCGTTTAGCGTCAGTTGACTTGTTTCTTATAGTAATCCAGTGAAAAGAAACTGATAAAGGTAATCATCGCGGACTCAGATCCGAGGTTTGTTAACATTAGCTGCCTGGAATGGAAAACAAAATATTCTTTATCCGGATTCCGTCAATTTTCTTGTCTCATTTTCAAAACTGGCTGCCTTTTTCACACTGAATATAGGCCAATGGCTTGAAACCGGATAGTAGTTATGGTCACGAAACTCTCCTGAAAGTTTGCGAAATACCGAAACCCACTGCTGGTTTCTAAGATGCTTGTCGGTGTGGCCTGCTGGTTTTGCTAGGCTTCAGGTTCAAATGTCACCTCCGAATGTAGGGCGTACCCACACTGCCTCAGCATTTGTCAACCAGAAATCGTCCTTCATCTACCGGCCATATAGTCATTACTTGTTGCCTAATATCAAGTTGTTCCGTCGAAAGTAGTTTATTTGTGCCATGAGTATCATAAACACCCCGCTATTCCTAATGAATCTTTATCCACACTTCTAATCCAGTTCTTTGGAACCGCTGTTGTAAATCGGAAATGTAGCCAAAATGCTTTTAAACTCAGAAGTATATAGCAAACAAAACTATTACTGTCTTTTGTGCTGATTATTGCTGGGTTTCCAAAAGTCTTTTGGATATCCGTATTCACTCAGAAAGTTTAAATTTCGCCTTACAGATCGATCGATGGTTAGAAGTAGCCAGGCTATCCGACTAACAAACTCAACTGCATACCAAAGTAGTTTTGACGGCAGACCCACCGGGAACTCAGCTGAAACTCTGGTTTATGGTGTACTTCTTCACCTCGGGGACTAGGCCACCTGATGAGCCCCAAGGAGGACAGAAGTGATCATGGGCTGCAAGAGTTTTCATCAATTTTACGGGTAGTTTATTACGCCTACAACAAGATTATCCTCTAGTAAAAATATTTAACTAGAAGTGGCTGTATAATGACTGACTTACCTACCTTGCCATCGTTTCTAAAACCATGTGACTTATGGCATTTTAGACAGTCTATTTAATTTAGCATGGAGTACTCCAACAAGTATTTAGCCTTTTTGTGAACGGGACTGCTCAAAAACTTGCTGGAAACAAGAGTTTCCTTCCGTTATCGTCCATGTTGAAGCTCATCTAGTAGGCGCAGTCCCAAATTATTCGTCAACCTTATTTTCTACTTGAACTCAAATTGCATGTTCAACAAATGCATCCACTTGCAGAAGGTTCTTTCTAAGAATATCATAAACGAGATATTCTTCTGAAATTTATGTGAGTCACCAATGAAAGTCAAATTAATGTTCACGTGTTTGTCAAACATGCCTCTTTTCACTGGTAGTTTGAAGGTTTTTGCAAGGTTGCTTTGTTAAGTTTGGACTTGCGAGTTGGATTTAAGAAAACATATCCACTTTCGATTGGACAATACACACTCGGACAACGAGGGTTTTTGCTTTTCTCTGCCTCTTTTATAATTTTTGCGGATCTCTTCATTAATTTTATCCTTATTTAAACTTATTTGTATAATGATATTTCTACCTGGTTGAAGCAGGCAAAACCTGTCTTTGAACGACTGATTCTACAGAGTTCGAATGTAAACACCACAGCAGAAAGAAGATAAGGTTCTTCAAGACAAGCCATTTTTCAGAATCGTGAGCAGCTAGTATCAACTTTGTTTAGAGTTACCTAACTCTAGATTGGATTCTAACTGCCTTCTAAGAGTGTCTAAGACTAACCAGAGAGTAACTGTATCCAGGAATATGTATTAGACCGAAACTTCGGAGAGTGACTCGAGCAATAAGGCATATGGCATTGATTCTTTTTTGGGTTTGTTCGCAACACAAGTGGTAAAGTTTCTAAAAGAACTCGCTAGCTGATTAGCAAGACTAGCACATTTACGTTGATCCAGTTTTCTTCCCCCCCCCCCCATGGTGCACATAAATTTGGAAAGCAATCAGTGACACAAAACAGTGACTGAAATAGCACATTTATAAAATTGATAATTCTGTTGATAACTCCACAACCTCTTTTATAAACGGTGGAATGAACCAGAAGTGGTCAGCATATTTTAAGTGCGACTTATCTCGTTTTCCTCTAAGGCGTGAATTTTACCATTGGAACTACGACCACGTGTATTACCAGTGCATGTGACCGGAGATTTTGATGAGAAAATTTTTTGACATGCAGAATCCGCTCATTTCAACCGTGTTTTGGTGCATTTTGCTAGGACCAGCGGAAAGTTTTCTTCCTAAGAGAGGTTCCTCGTATTTGGAATTCGCGCAAGTAATATTCTAACAGAAATGTGTAAATCACCTGTGGCAGACGCTTTTACCATTAAACAAATATTCTGAGTCTGGTTGTTCACTACTGAACACAGAAAATCACTTTTTATTGGCTACCACTGAGCCTGCCAGGTCATGACTAATTTATGTAATGACTTCAGGTTCAGAGCCGAAAGAATTTTTATTCTTTCAAGGATATGGGTTTCAACTGAAAATCGATTTAAACCACACAGCTTGCGGAAATAGAAATTTAGGGCTAAAAAAGACTGATCAGAATGATTCGGAAGACCAGATAAAAATGAGAGGGAAAAGGAGCGATTTTCGGTTTTACTAAAGACGATCCAACTCACTTGATAATAGGATGAGTTTCCTTCAAGGCATCAACCAGACGTTTGGCGAGAATGTCATATTCAAACTAAACAATATGTCTCACGTGACCTGACTGAGGAGTAAATCTTGGAATTGACTCCCACAGCGCGTATTTGAACCACTGGTGATGTGACAAATTTACGCGCCCTCTGGAAATGATGCACTCTCAACCTGTGTTGCAAAACAATTTTTTTCGATAGCTCTCCTCCAGGTCGGTTAGTGTAAACTCACTCAAAGAACTGGTCAAAGAAATTACACCATGCTCAAATATTATCTTGTCTAACAAGCTTCAAAATTTGACTGAGGGCTTACTTTCTAGCGTGATTTGGGACGGAAATGAGTAATTTTTTGTATGCGACTGCCAAATCTGGGGTTATGTTTTGGTAGGTGATGGAGTCATATTACTCAGCGACGATCCGTCATTGGATTAGATGAAATCTTCTTATTTGCTGCTATACAGTCGTCCTGTAGTTTGGTCTCTGCGCTCAGTCTACCAGGTTGAACAACTTTTCTGGATTCATTTAACCCACGAAAGTCATTTTCCTTGTCCAACAACGATCTCTTGATCATGAAAATCCCAGACATTTTGAAGCCGGTCTGCTACTATACAGGAACCTCTTAGACTAGTAGTTCTAAACAAGGTATTCGTTTGGTAGGGGAATTCGGATTTCAAACGCTTCATTACCAAACAAAATAATGTCGTCAGTGTGAATATTTGTCCCTGAAACTTGAAGCTTACTTTGAACAGAACAGTGTTCAAGAGGGTACAAGATTGCCAGATCACTTGGACGTATAAATGGGCTTCCATAGTGTAAAACTGCACGTTATTCTGAATGTGTTCTCCATGTCTAGTAGTCTTATGAAGGTGTTACTTTTGGCACTGTGCTAGGTAATGTCTGTAGCATTTTATATCCCAAGTGACCTTTTCATTCGCGTGGCCTTAACTTTTGAAACCGTCTATTCAGCCCCTTAGGTTATCTCGCACGTGGGTGGAACAAGTCATCAAGTACTCATTTACCACAAAATAATAAAAAGGAACAGCTGTGTAATTAATTGTGAATAATTGGGATACATGAAGTGTAGTGCGTGCTTTGATCAATTTGCTTTAATGAAAAATCTGATAAACCAGTTACTTAAAATTTCTTAAAGTCATTCATTTATTGCATCTGCTGTACTATCAAGGCAGTAAAGCAGCAATACACAATAAGATGTGGAGGTTCGCATTCTTTGTTTAATAATCCTGATCCCATGAAATGGATGAAGCTCAGAACATACTTGTGCGTCTCTTGCTAGAGTTGAATTTGGAGGCGCAAACACAATAAGTAGCACTATTTAAATCATATTGTATAATCAACTGATCGGTCGGATCCTACCTAGAGATGTTCTAAGGAGGCTACACCGCGTAAAACTACAAACAAACAAGGAGAAATACAAACCATTTCAGAACCATGTGCGAATAATACAGGAGAATCTCGTTGTGTTTTCCAACCTGTACGTGTCATTATTGTGCTTACCACGCAAGTCAGTATTAGCTAAAGCAAAGATCTGCTCCGCAATCCAGTTAGTCAGTTTAGCGCTACTATTTTCCGTCTAGGGGTGGGCTTTTTAGCCGCTCGAAGTTGAAAGGACAGGTTTTCAGCCACAGGCCGGAAGGTCGCGAGATTGAAACTCTGATTTTCACGAAGTGTGCACTGCTGCTGAGCCCCAATTAGGATGAAACGGCTGTGCAGTGCTTCTTGGCTTTTCAGCGTAATCCCACTTTATTACTACTCCATCATGTATTCTACTTGGTGAAGTATCCTTGGGATTCCAAACAACATGGGTTTGATCGGTAAAAGCTTTGCGTAGTCTCTCCTTAGAGGTCATGATCAGAAATGTAGTCCGTAGCGTCTGATCTCCCGATAATTTAATGGACCTTATACACAAGTTGGTTTCCACAAGAGGATATTTCTTGCCTAAGAAAACTTAGAAAAACAGCTGCATTACAATGTGCGGCAACAAAAATTGCAAGTATAACCAGTCCGTTTATTAACAAGAACATTCTTGACAGTATATTGTGGTGCGAAGTACATCATAGTCCATCCAATTATGTTTATATAAACTATCAAAACATTTGGCAGAATTTCCACTCTCCACCTTCATACCCAACTTAATCAGAGCAGCTGGTTCCGATTTCTTAATTAATTTGGCACTTGCCAAAACCGGTCTTCTCTATATGATCTTCTGATTTTGCTGATTTCTCATGAGACCACAGACTGTGTATATTACTCCCTTGTGAGTTACCAAGGGATACTGGGCAAAAGGATGGGAAAATATAGAGATGTGGTGCTTTTTTGTTTGACTGGATCCATCTTGCCTTGGTAGAGTGATTTTTAATCAAGCTCGTAACTGGTGGTCAAGGAGACGTTGGAGGGCTCATCAACAATTTCTGTGGCGGTCGGCTGAGATAAATAAAGACTAATCAACCATTTCAGACCACGTACAACACCGGTCATATAAAATTTTACAGAATCAGAACTAGGGACCCAAATAAGTTAAAAGATGTTGGGAGAACAAATTTTTGGTTAATTTGGCTGTATGTTACTTTACGTGCACTGGTGAAAATTGAGATAAATTTGTGGCACGCTGGTGCTACTTTAGGTTCTTCGGTGGATGGTATCTCTACAGTTTGCTCAGAATTTATCACCTCGGGGGTATGTCGTGTCCCACATCACGGTCCCAAACCAATTTCCCCTTTGGAAGTAGAATATCAATTCAGTCATCATCATGTAATCAAGAACCGTTTAACCATTGGTAAGCGCTAGTCTACAGAATATCCTTCCGACGCTGCTTATAGCAATATGAGAAGTAATGTCTAAGGTTGCCTGAATGAGTACGCCTATATAACTTGATAACTGTCCGACGGTAGGTATAGCGGAGACCGTTATTTATTTCAATTTGGATGCAGGTAATGTGGACATTGTAAATGGATGAATTATCCTTGTGAATCGTGCTCAACTTCCATTCGTTAGTTATTTCTGCGTTTCCAAGCAGCAACGAGAAAAGCACTGAAAACCTGAGTGTATAGAGTCGCCAAGGTCAGTATTTCACCCATTAGCTCAAATAAAACGACAAAATCACATCAAAAGATCGTTAAGATCGTGGGGACGAAACTGAAGCATATGAGAAGGCTTAACGTCTTAAGAGACTTGAGCCATTACACTGGCGCCTCCTGGGGTTGATTTAACCAAGTTAAAGTCACAAAATCAGCGCACGGCTATTGTTTGTTAAGCAGCTAAATAAGAACGAAATGACAAGTTGTAAAATCTGGCTCTGCTCCAATAGGTTTGCACCAAAGCTTTTATTTTATGTTTTAACGGTCTACGTGCTTTGAACTTACCATGAAAAAACCTCTACTAGAATCGATGCCCATATTTAGCCCAACTTAGCTGAATGATAGTCAACTAAAGGCTACTCTCGGCACGTTCACTCATTGTTCGTCATAGATTATCCTCCAGAGAATACATATGTCATCCATCCACCTAGATTTTAAGTCCCAACCATATTGCGCCATTCCAATCATTGAAGACGAAAAAATGTGTTGTAGCATGAAACAACACAACACCCTATCAGTTGAAGCTAAGACTAAATTTAGAGCTTTATTCCATCATACAATTAGGAGACAAACAGCAGTGAAGCGGACCATAATGTGTATAAACAGGCATAAAATATTTCACTTACCTGAAATGTCAAGAACTTGGTCAAGACAGTGGCAGTTGGTGAGACAGTGACACACGTCATGTTGATATGCACTGTCTGATTTCTGGGGTATTTNTTGGTCAAGACAGTGGCAGTTGGTGAGACAGTGACACACGTCATGTTGATATGCACTGTCTGATTTCATGGGGTATTTTCCTGATGAAGATTTGGATGACCTTGAACGTCCACACTTGAAATCAGCAACATCCACAGAGCTGTCTGCTGCTTCGTAAACGGTTTGGTCGTTTCCAGGGCATACTAGGTCGTTGGAAGCCGACTGAGGTACTTGCTTCCGAGATATTATCACTGCATCATGCGAGTAAGTGCAGTCTCGTGCAAAATTAACCTGCACATCACTGACATAATCACAGTGGGGGAATGTATGAGGCGGAGATAGGTCGAATTTGCACATTTTGTTAGGTCTGTCCATCATATTTTGTTGCGGCTTCGTTAACTGAGACAGCAGTAGCCCTGGACGTTCAGCTGATCCATCATAGCTTTTGGGAGCTAAGTCAGTAGAGAGATTGCTACAGATGTAGTTCCCAGATTTCAAAGTACTCTGAGGGTATTCATCCGTCATCTTGTTTGTGCCCCCGAGCAGCATTTCGACTATGAAAATCAGATTGAGAGCCACAGGTTCATGGAACAAGTGGATGAATTTGGGAGCGCAATTTAAATGTGGAGGACAAATAATTCACTTTTATAACTACCCACTTAAATAAAAAGACTAACTGGGAAAGAACCCTGAGAAGGTTTGACATTGGTTGTTGATCAGACGGTTGTGGATATGTTGACCGAGCCTGACAATCGGCTTGAAAATGTTTCGTTACCATGAGAGGAGACATCATCAGTGCGCAGTTTGGTGGGGTCCACAGGGTGAACGCTCAAGTGGGTGGGTAAATAGACAGCACAGTTACAATTTTTCTATACTACTGAATCAAAACACTATACTCCTGGAAAATTTTGACATCTAGACGACCAGCCTATTAATTACTACTTTAATCACGTGGGTGGATTCCTGGAACATGAATTCCGTACTATAGTGAGGAAGGTTTGTATAACGCTGAAACTTGAGAGAATTGGGAAATCGATTCGGTTTCCTAATGAAAAAGGAGCAACAGATACCGGTTATAAAATTAAGAACTGATAATTGATCTGCCGCAGATCTGTGCACGTACATTGACTGAACTTATTCACTCTACGTTGATGTCAAACGTTTGCAACTGATCTACGTTTAGCTCGACGTAAACCCTCTGCGGCTGTTCATCTATCTCATTGAGACCAGTGTCTTCTACAACATGGGCCAGTGAATCCCATTTAAATGTCAGTTATCTGTCTATTTGACCCAGCTGGCCTGGATTATTTAAGTTACAGTCGAAACGAGTGCGTCGTCCTGAAGACAACGCTTGATGTCTGTTCACGGGAGAATCACATATCTGATGTTTTATGGTTGCTTGGCAGGCTTCACGCAAGATAAAAGACTTCAAGCAGCTGGGCTTTTAAAAGACTGACCACCTAAGTCATTGGTTTATTAGTAAACCTTTTAAATCCGATCCATTTTTCAAAAGGGAGGGTTTTGTTTCAGGACGTTTCGGAAAACAGTCGGTCAAGTTTATACGTTTCTATGCCGCTTTCTGGATTGGTTACGAGTGTATTCTGTCACTCGGTCATGCTGATGGTGTTCCGAAGGAAAGTTAGAAAATTCCACAATAACTAGCTCCTGTGCATCTAAAGCTAACCACTGTGTTATTTCGCAGACTGTGATTTCAAAATTAAAGAATGATGTACTAAACGAACTGTCGGTATTATACGCAGTGGTGGCCAGGTTTAAGGGTTCACGGTCCTCATATACCTTTTCAATTATTTTTATTTCAACGTGCTGAAGACTCCCCAAGAACTGCAAAACTAACTAATTGGTTTGAATTAGCCCTTGCACAGTTTCTAATAGTGTCCGTTACGCTATTTTTTGTCATCTTTGGAGAACAAAATACCTAAAAGTGAAACTAAATCCTTTCATCTGAGCTACCTTGTAGACCAAAAGGCACACGGTGGTTAAGATGCTTTCAGATTTGTCAAACCTAGATAGTCGTAACCTGATGATGAGAGTACTCACCGTAAAATTAACACCCCAGTCACCAATTTCTAGAAAACAGTTGTATTGTTAATTTGAGTTTCAGAGAAAATGCAATTCTCAGCTCACCTTGCGCCTTTGTCTTCTAAAAAAGAAGTCAGCATCCTACAAGGGAGTCTTAACGGTATGTTTAGCCTGGGCTATATTATGATCCACTGGAATCAACGGTAATCACTAGCCTTACTCAAATTTATTTATCAAGGAGTCAATCCTGAACACAGGTCACGTGTAACGTAATACGTTGAGAGATATAAAACTTCGGGGGGTTCTAACCTTGCATTTGGCATTTAAAGAACTTTAAAAACTTGCCTGTATTAGCTGAAGTAACATGTTCTGCGTCCGTAAACACCCGACAGCTTGTCTCCAGCGATTGAAAAGGTGCAGCAAAAGGAGATTTAGTTCCTCGGTTAACAAAATGTGGAATACCAGGCAGAAAACTCTCGGCCGAAAAATCACAATTTGAGATAAAATTCTCTCCGGCTACCAAGTTGAAGCATGGATGACTTGAAGGCTGACAAATAGCTGTCGTCACGGTATGACATTTGTTCCAGTCTGTCGCCTGCTGCAAGTTATTCAAACAATTTTGTTGTGGCGGAACTCCATACTGGTCATCAAGGATGTTTAGGCAATCTTCCCTCCATTCATATGATTGGTTTCCGGAGATATGGGATGCGGAAAACTGTTGGCTTGAAGAAGTTGGTAGAAAAGACGATTCATTTATGGCTACTGGTTGGTCGCTTGAGGTCATCGTCATGTGGTACTTTGGTGTGTGTACGAGGCTTGAGAGCCAGTCATGAATCGAAGTCATACCGTCAGTGCTTGGAGTGGGACAGGAACATTCACTGATAAGCTTCGGACTTCCTGACATATTTCCGTTAACTGTATTGAGTGAATAGCATAGACTTCCTTTAAAGTTCAAGGTATGTATGGCTTGCGTATGATCATTCAAAGTTTACTACAAAATTTTAAAGCGTAAAAGTCTATTATTCGACTAGTTTCACTTGCACAGCTACTCAGTTGACCGGCGTTTAATGGTCCTCTGTTCAGCAGTTAGTGGCATAATATTTGCTCAGATATTTCTAACTATCGATGAGGTAATCCCATTACAAGATAACATAGCTGATTTGTCATATTTACTCAACCCTAGCGCATACATGAAATAAGTGGTCATTCAGTTGCTATCCTTTCGGCCCACAACTGTCATACATCCTGCTGCAGTAACAGAGGAGAAAATATAACCGGTTTGCCCAAAGATTAAGGTGAATACGTTCAGTGTGAGTTGTGTCTTATAAAGAACCTTCTGATCAATAACCTGTTCTTCATCCTTCGTTACTTCTGGAACCCGGTTTGTTGAACTGAAAACAGGAAAGATCCGCAGGCGTCTGTTTGAATTCCAGTGAAACGCTTGTTTTATTCTGGTAGACGATTGTCCATTTAAACGAATCTTGTAGTGTAGTCAGTAAACAGTCCACAATGGAGCTCCCCTTCGATTCTTTCTGGATGAAGGGTGACTCTTCAGCGAAAAAACAAAGACATTGAGTGACCAAGTAAAGACTTTTCTTACTGAATTAATACTGTGTAGTTAGTTGTTCATCGTCTTCTTTAAAAACATTACTGGCATAAGAGATTTCATACTTGAACGTGTGCCCGATGTACTTCCGACCAAAAGTTGACTATTCGAGTAATTGAGTACTTCTTTTGTAAAAAAAAATGGGTAGCGCCATTTGCTCCTCACTTTCTGACGCCCACTTAACTGGTCCGATTCAACCATCCGGTGTGCTCTTAACTACGTTGATTAGATGGCGCAATATCTGCTGCTGGAAGCAATAATTTTTTATAATGTCTCAGTGGACAAGTTTTGTAATAAGAGTAGCACACGGTGAAGACATTTACATAGAAGTTATGTTGTTGCCTAGATATGTCCCGCAAACACCTGAACGCTTTAAACGGATTACAGTCTATTATGGTGAAGTTGGTGGGTTTCATCATCGTTACGGGTATCGCAACGACTCAGACAGACTGAAGATCTAGGTGAGTCACGGGGTAGACATAAAGTAGTTTACCTGGAAGTTTCTTTTTTCCTCCAAATATACCAAATAGAAATGATGTTTACCGAGATTTTAATAACGAAACTTTGCTGAGTGTTTCTTCAGGAATATTTATCCGGTTCTAAAGTCCGCTGTTGTTTTTTTATTGGTTAAAACTGAAGCTTGAGCCATTAACTTGTGAGCAGCCGACAAGAGGCACCTTTCGTTACAATGTGATCGCTTGGAGTAACTGTTGCAGTTTGAGTGGCAGGTTTACTGAGCATCGTGGACGACTGCCGCCATTCTAAGAAGCGGACAAACCAGTCCGTTACTGTGCTGTCAATCAAAGATTTAGGGAGAAACCACCCCAGAGAAAGTCTTTCTTTGGCATCCGGAACATATTCTGCACTCACAAAAAGCGGCCCCACTGTCACACAATGTTCTTCAGAAACGAAAGACTAGCTAACGTCTGGGAGTCTCTCCCAAAATGCCGGCTAACTGAATGTGAGAAATATTCTCACGCTCGACCGCCAAGAATGAAATACGAATTGAGTATTGCTCTGGGGTGAAACCGCGCCAAACAAATGAACACTTGATTTGAGGCTGTTCAGGTTCCTTAAAAGTGCACAAACAATCGGATTACCGAGAGACGTTTTGCCACCTAATCAATTGAAAAAGTGGTGTAGAAACCATGTGGCATACCTACAAACCGCCACAAATTTTTACATATGTAATGAAGGTAGTAGAATTAGAAACTAGTCTCAAACCTAATGATGGTAACGTAAAGCCAATGGAGCCTAGTTGATCACATGAATTTCAGATAGCATCTGACCTCAGTCGAATTCCAAGAGCATGACATCCAAACGTTTTGGAGATACCAAGTACCTGGTAGTTTGATACTTCGAATGCTCCCTCTCCCGGTAGGTTTATCTTAAGTTACACATTCCTCTGGGGTTATCGTTTCTCTTCAAAAAAGTTCGCAACAACACAGATCCTTTTCACTGATGCCAGGGGACTCAAAGAGGCCAAGATCAATGAAGTCCTCTGTCAGTTTCAAGTTACAAAAGGCGGTTTTACGTACGCAAAACTCAATTATTTTTCATCCGTTGTTTTGTGTATTTGATTTACAAGAAGACTGTGGTCCCATACCGATGCCAGCTAAAGGCACACGCATTCAACATTCTGTCTCAAAAAGTGATAAGCACAGGCGGACTTCACTGGGTTCAGCGATTAACACACTCCATATGCTCGAGTTTTAAACATGAGCAAGAATTTATCTGTAAACATTGTTTGTAAGTATTTCTGAATGTCATTCCATATGACTAAATCTTTAAAATGTTACTGCATAAGGGAGTTTCTTAGCTAAGAACGGGGCTAGAAACGATTCATTCGAGAGTTCAGAGAGAAAGGCCGAGTGTTCTGTTTTTATAAATTTAGAGGGATCTCGGAGTAATCTTAGGGTCAAACGGCTGGATGAGAGCTAAAGATTATGTTTGTAATGATACCTCCTAAAGACCCAATTTTCCAGTTAGTGTATTAAGAAAAGCGAAACCTTTCTTAAGTGTGAACGCAAACAATTATAACAGGAGAGTTTGGATAACTATCCCACACCTGTGGCATTTTTTCTAGCACTCGCTCTGCTGTATTTAATGTTCTCCCGAGTTCTTCCGACCATGGGGATTTGTTTACTTTATCTGACTCGGTAAGTTCTTAATTCTCTTTGAAACTGTACTTCACACTCGTGAGGAGGTAGTGATTGTGTCCGTTATAATAATGTGGAACTTCCATACTTGACCTAGCGTAAGTAATCTAATTTAGGAAGTTATATTAGCGTTCGTCATCTACTATTTTCGTTTATTTTTGAGGAGCATGGTCACAGACATAAAAAGTGAATGCAAGCTATGGATTCGAATTAGATAACAGAAGAATATGATATCAAAAAAGAAGAATGTCTCATTCAAAGTCTTGCATCAACAGTTCCAGTCAGATACAATAATTCTCGACGTCTGTGAGAATTTTGGTATAGGAACACGCATGTAAAGACCGAAGAAAGGACAAACAGTGCTCTTCAAGGCGCAGTAATCGCTAGCACATTCAAGACTCACACATAAAACAAAGTGTCCGTGGTAGTGGGTCTGGTGTAAGATTAGATGACAAAAATGTACACTCAGCGCCATGTGCCACGCATAAAGGTGTCATAAGTACGCAGAGAGTCCACAACGGCAAGAAAACACAAGTCACTGACTGTGACCTTAGGAAGTCCCAGTCCAATAACAGCCTTGGTGGATTGAGGGAAGCAGATCCCTCGATAAGAGATTATCATCGATTGGTGGATCAAAAAGTCGACCACTACTGCTGTTACCACTACTACTATGTATTCTATCCCCCACTGGACGATAAACAAATCTAAAAACGAGTGCCAGCCCGGAACAGTTGTGCGCACAGGTTGAGTTTCACATTCAGGTGTGGGACGGGAAACAGCCGGTAGGATCAAAACTGCATGGAAAGCAGAGTAGGATGTCAATTGATCGCACTGTTGAAATGCATGAGAACGGAATCTAACCAACTCATAAACCGAAGTAACCGAAACCTCAATGAAGTGGATGGACAGAAGATTAAACAAGTATATCCAAACTCACTTCAAGAACTTCTGTAGCATTCCAAGACATGCAGTAACAGTCTAACAAACAAAATGTTTAGCAGCCGCCCTAGACTGTAGTTCATACTCTAGTGCTAAAACTGATGTGTAATACCTCCAAAAGCACCCTATGTTTGCTCAGTATTAAAATTAACCACTGTGTGCAAAATTTGATGTGGCTTAAACGATCATCTGAGAAAAGCTTCGTGAATCTCTTACTTTCGAAGTCCTTTTTGTTACCAAAGATCGACGAATGTCCGACCATTTTGTACTTTTAATCCTGATCACCACATTTTCTTATTTTACAGAAGACAGTATTAGATAACGGTTCTCTTTTCACTCATGACCACCATTGTCTATACCAGGAAGGGGTACCATAAAGCAACATAGGATCCTAATTTTAGATAAAGAACTCCAACATACACCCTATCTTCTCTGTGTAATTTCATGAAGCTTCCTTACTGCGGTAAAAACGGACCTTATATATGAGTGGATGCAGCCCTTGGGCATTTCAAAGGCCTTTTGGCGCTTGCTTGGTGCATTTGAGAATGGGAGAGGACACACAAATTCTTTATTGACCTTAAATTAAACTGGGTGTTTGCATTAATTTCACTTAATTTGGTTTGAATAATCCCCTACCTGTCCCACGAGATTACTCTAGTTAGCTCACACAAAACAGAGGAAGTGCTGGAATTCATTTCCGTTTACAATAATGCACACTTTTGGTTTTGCTCAGATTGTAACACCGACGTCCTCCCAAGACTTCAACTACCTGACGCCCCAGAAGGGCGTCCTAACATTTCTCCGTCACCGCAAAATGAGAAAACTTAAGTTATGCAGTCTGAATAGGCAAACGTGTTTATGCTTGACAGTTGTGGTTGGTTTGCCCAACGCCACGAAAGAACACAAAGTAATTATCTTCGTTTTGCCGGTCGGTTGAACTGCCTGTTAGAAATTCCCAAGTAGGCAGCGCCACAGACGTTTTAAACCTTTTAAACAGTTTTATAGCTCGGTAAGTTTGTGCGTGCATCGCAGCCCGTAGAATCGTCTGAGATCTTGCGCGCACAAAAATAGCATTTTTCCGGCCTCTTCTTCCTAATCCTGAAATAGGGTGGGAAATTACGATATGTTACCTTTTTTATCACCCCAATACAGCTTCTTGGAATCCGCTGATATCTTGGATGTAAGTACACGTTAGTTTCTTTTTCTGCGTCTAATAATCTGTGCAAGTTTGTCTCTGGGTTAAGATGGTGGTTGGGGAATCCCTCGTGTGCATTGGCGGCCTTTCAGAATTCAGTTTACGCAGAAAAACTGCTAATATTCACGAAAATAAAAGGATCCCTAGGAAGTAAGAATATATCCGACGACCCAAAATACACTGAACCGTTGTCTAAGAAAGGTAAGAAAAACATCACTGTGACATTTTTCGGTATGCTAGATCACAATTATTTACGAAAAAACAGAGTTCTGGTTAGTCAGCTGTTCACTGGGAGGGTTTAGTTGCGTCTCTTGACGACGTATCTTGTAAGCACGAGTACTCAGGACACTTGATATCATTCTTGGCTTTATATGTCTAAAAAATATATTTGGTTCACAACTTTCGACATCACTAGCACATCAGTACATCAAAGCGAATTGGAACATTGAAGGTTTAGTTTGGAATAAAAGTTAATAAATAGCTTGTGGAAAGCATCACAGTATTTAAATAGAATTGTGCTTCTTGGGCAAACCAGTCAGATCTTCAAACAGAACCACTTCCGTTGTGGCACATGTATCTACTACAGCCCGTCGGACATCGGGTCATTCTAATCAGAAATCCTCCACTTTGGTGGTAGAAAAATATATGCGCGTTTGTGGGTCGGTCGAGAATTGTGGTTACTGATGCCTATTTTAAAGCCCATTATCTAAGATGACACCTTAATAACACAGGAGCTGAAATGTATCAGAATAAGCTACAGTGCAAACATATCTCCGCATCATTTGCAGAAATTCAGTTAGTCAAACAACTTTGGTTCTTGCATCACCCAATTCCTAAATCTGTTTTAACTGCAGGAGCTTTGCTTTCTACCGTATTTCTGACCTCCAGGTTCCGATGGGCCTCATTGGAGGCATGCTTTCTAAAACTCCATTCTTCGATTTATTTTCCCTGTTTGCTTTTCACACATCATGCATTATCAGATGAACGAGTTGGCTTAAGCTTGCAAAATTACATAGAAATCCACTAGGCATATGTTGCTATGCGGAATCTTTTGAAAATTGTCACTGCACAAACAAAGATGAATGAACCTCTGGGGATTTAGATAAGTTCAGTATAACGTCAGTATAGAATCATCCCTTACTAGCTCCCTGACCATCGGCATTACCTGGATTACGGTTAATTGGTTAACGTGACTAATTTTATCGTCTTTCAATGACAGTTGCCATAAAACTGCTTGACAGGCCTCTTCTATTACGTTTGATTTAAAATAAGTCAGCTAGTTATTTGACACTAAGTCAGCTATTCAGCGAAATTTTGGTAGGATATTCTGCTCACTGCTCTTCGTCCGAAAGTGATATTTTGCCTTTAGGTTTACGGTTCTAGGTTTTAGAACAGAGCAAAGGAATCGAATATATTCGGGTTTACCACAGAAAACACTCGAGATGTCCATTCTTTAAGCCCGGAAAAGGTTGTAGATTCTCGATTTCTGCGCACACTGGGAATAAACCACTGGATTTCAGTAACTACCGCGGCCTACTATATTACGAGAAAGTGTGTTGGGTACTGTGTTCTTTCAAGCCATTAGTTTAGGTTATGAATGGTGGGTATCTGCCTTACCATTGCATTCACTTAAGAGATCCATGGGTAGAAATATGTTTGTGTCCAGCACTCAGCAAGGTTTCGGCAGTCCTATATCCGCCGGTGCACTAAGAGGGGCTAGCTCATGTAGCTTGTTTCGGATGTTGCGGGTTATTTTGTATGAAAACCATAGTCGTATTTGACATACCATTCTTCTTTTTAATTTTCAGCAATCCCGAGGGAACATTTTGTCCTGGGCTGGCCATCTGTTTATTCCAGTCTACCATTGTGGCTTTATTAGGCATTCCTTTACGTGCTGTTATTTAAACTGGCTCAAAAACTTACTCATATAGTAAAAGTGATGTTCGTATATCCAAAGGAGGCGGTTATTATCCATGTTGATCCGCATTCACTGTAAAAACCAGGCGTTTCTACTATTTCCTAAATGGACAGCGATGTTATGCATCAAAGATCGCCCGGATGACCTGAAGATTTTTTTAAACATATGGCCCCAACTTTTACGCCTCAAGCTCCTTTCCAAGGAATTCTACGAGGCAACACTTGTACACCCCTTCAGATAGTCAGTGTAGGTAGCTCTGAACTGGACCAATTTTCGGCCGTTCATGAAAGCTTCGCCTTCATCTTGAATTGGAAACATATAGCGCAAATACATGTATGGGATGTATGCCATCTGAGGCCAAGAATTCGGGAGAAAATGATTAGTGATATCAACTGACACTGCGGTGTCAGTTCATTCATGAATTCAAATGTCACGGGTTCAAAGATACGAAACCAAGACTTACTAAAAGACCCACAGGAATCCAAATTTATTTCCACATTGTCCAAAAGTATGAGATGCTGGTTGTCTCCTGAATATGAATAATGCTGTTCGGTCCTCACCTTGAAGGTATACCTACCAGTGTTCCTTTGGTAATATTCTAAGTAGACTTGGATCACGAAAACTGAAATTTCTTCCTGAAAACCTCTCGTAACAAAAATTTCAAAATTCGGACGGTTCAAACGTTCACCTTAATTCTACAGGAGGTCTGGGTACATGTGGTGGAGTTATATGCTGTCCAGCAGTAATTCATAAATTATAAGAACTGCGCGCCAAATTATTCCTCAAGGTCTTCCCGTCGAGGCTTCCACGTATGACCCATTGCACAAGCCATTTTGGTTGATTACAGAAGGTACTTTGATGGTGTGCAGCCCTGATCTCCGAGACATGGCTAATGTTTCTTCTTCCCACCTTCTGCCCAACGAAATGATCCTGAACCCCTGCTTCCAGAGAACCACTTTCACATGGGCTCCGACAACATACATATTTACTGGCTTTCTAGGGTCCAGTACGACGGCAGCTTCTTGGCAGCCCACGTTAAAAACCTCGGGAGAGCTAAATTTACTGACGGGATTCATGGGTAGAAAACCGGACATTCAGGATGTCGATGAGGTGTTGGGTGATTTGTGAATAAACAAACGTGCTCATCATCCTTATCGTATTCATTTATTCCTTTGACTTTTTTATGCTTTTCATTGTTTTCCTGGTCTCTTTTACCGTTTTATTCCTCCCTTCAACTTTCGCACTTCAACTCCTTTCTGAATCTTGATAACTGTGCTTGAAATGTAAGACTAGATGGCCAGGCGTCTCAAGGGAGGTGTAAACAGTGTTGTCCTCTCTGTGGACTTTTATGGTAATACACTGGTTCCCTACACGGACATAGTTCGCGTTTACCCCAGTTTATTGACCTTCAGGACATCCAGGCAAGTGGACATAAGGCTAGGCTCCCTGGTCATCGAGGGCGCTCAGTATTCGCACAATGGAAATGAATTTTTGAAAGTTATGACGTGCCCCTGATGGAATAAAGCAATCGGGCAATTAATTTGAGACAACCGGTCCAAACTTGTAGGCCCTATTTAGGCATCCCGGGATTTCAGCGATGCTGACCAACTATCCAACAGGATTTTTTAACCATAGGCACGGTCGCTCAGGTGAACAATCAAATTTGGCGAGCTGAAAAATATGAAAGTTGATTAGGACGGTTTTTGGTTTGAGCCCATATGCAGAACAATGCACCATTTTAGCATAAAAGGTTTTACTCACCTCGCAAAGTTTTTTCAGCATAGAGCATTGTGTGAATAATGGGCACTGTTATCGCGTAGTCAGTGACCACTGGGGTTCTATATATTTGTCCCCACCTGTAGGTGGTTCCCTCTACGCCCTGCAGTCACAGAGTAGCCGCACATTCGAATATGCGGGAGTGATGTGAAAAGCTTTTCACCTCGGTGCTTTCTGCAGGATTCGGTGAGCTAATAATAAATTTTACAGCTCCCGCACTAATCCGGGGTAAATAGGCTCAGTTGATTTAGCCTTTGCTTGTGTGATTTTGGCCATCTCTTGAATGGCTAGTCGGGCACTTTCGTGTTTAATATGGCCTGAGGTTTCATTGAGACTTGCGAATGGTCTACGGTCAACAAACTGTGGTTGTGTAAAAGGCCTTTTGAAGACACTCGTGGTTATCATTTGAATTCTGCCAGGCAATTACATTGGTATTCGCCTCCAATATCACGAAGAGACTGGACCTTACCGTGGTGAGGTGGTTTGTGTACCTCGCGACCCATTGAGCTTTACTGATGGATGTACGCGCGACACCCACAACATCTCTCATGCCAGGTTGGTCCATGTGTAGAGGGCTGATGCACACAGTCCTTCGGGGCCTTCAAGCTGGGGGTTGGAACGCGTGTGGCGACGTTTTCTTTAAAGATGGTAACGTGCTCGCACTTTCAGTCCGGCACCGCTGCCTTTCGGCTAGCGATTGGTTGGGCTTTGGTTGAGGACCCTAATCGTCCTCCTAATTGTAAGCGCCCTGGCAGTATCCCAGCCCCCATACAACCATGACATTTATTGATAACAATACTCTCATGCCACATCGGATGTCGCGTGGTGCTGTCAGCCTGGTCGCTTTACTTGCTACATACAGTAGCGAAGACATGCTACTTCAGACGTCTTCCCTCTTACACTTGCATGTTTTCCGTCTTCCACTCTCTTCCACAAAATTTAAATACTTTCTCTGCAGGTCCCAGCTCTAGGATTGACCGTTTTCCCCGCCGAGTATCACACGCGACTGCAGCTTTTATACTTTCGAGTCCAGTCACAACACTAAACAGTTCGAAGTCTGTTTTCAAACTCCGAAGGCTCGTCTGCTTAGCCACCTTTAATATGCGCACACTGAAGCAAGCGGGTCAACAGGTAACTTTTCCTATTGCACTGGATTATCTCTGCATTGGTGTATGTTGGCTGTTAGAAAGAAGGACGCAGGACGCAAGTATTGCGAAGTGACTTCCACTTAGCTTTCCTCCAGTTCCAGCTACCCCCCTCTGGTGATGCAGAGCCCACTGCAGCTGGATATGCTGGAGTGGGTATTACATTGACTAATAACTAAGCAGAAGCGTCTCCACATAATTGGATACCCGTTGATAGGCACCTGCGTGATATTCGATCGGCAAAATCCGAGAGAAATTTTAGATGAAGTGAGGTCCATCGCACCTCATTGTACCTGCTTACCCCCCAAATGACTGTAGCTATGAATCTGCTAACTTCCTATGACTCCCAGGTGCCCTTCTACAGCGGGTTAAACGCTCAGATATCCTTATGGTTACAGGTGGCGTGAACGCCCAGGTAGGTATACCAAGCGCCGCTGAGGCCCGATTGGGTGGTCGTCTTGGATTGAGTATGCGACGCAAGGACAGGGGATCGCTTACTCAAGATGGATGTCTATCAAAAACTTCCCTTGCCGTACGAATTTCCGAGGCAGTGGAAATCGCTTGATAACGTGGTGCCCACCAACAAACCAACTCCGAATCCAAATTTACCACATCGTCGTCAGTTATCGGTGGTGAGGGTCACTCAGAGTCTAGGCTCCTTCTCCGACACCAGTGTGGTCTCCGACCATGCACATGTACGCTGCTGCTATTTATTGTGCTTTTCATATCTACACAAAACGCGCACACCCCGCAGAGCTACTAAGAAGTTAGTGTGCCCAAAAGACCTAAGAAACTGCCTGAAACAGCTCCTGGCACACCTTTCGAACGGTTCTATGTCGGGCGTAAACGACCACTAGGAAAAGGTATCGAAAGCGCTGCTCAAAGCCGAGACGCATGTCTACGATACAGCCCAACCAATACCATCCAAAAATTAGACCTCTGACAAGACCACATCGTTGCTGGAGACCCGGCCTCGACCTCAACTCCACTGAACGCACCATCTGACGCCGGGTGAAAACCAAGGTAGTTGTGGACCCAAAAAAGGATGCAAACAGTGCTTGAAACGTCTGCAAGCTGTTCCCCTTTATTCGATCGATTGGTCCTCGGAAACCACTTGTCAGCAAAACAATCAGGGACCACAATGACTCTTTAAAATGCAGCAAAGCAGAACGAAGTGCTGGAAACAGCACTTCGAACAGCAATTCAGACGGCCACCTAATACCTCCAAACCGAAACCCTGGCCTCCAAAAGAAAGGTAGGCCGTAAATATGGATCCGCCTTCAGGTTCCAAGTGTCTGGGGGTATTTCTCTAACCAAATGTAATCGTGCTGCTGATTCTGTCGAACTTCCATCTACTCCTTCCAAGGATGGCGGTATGCTTCGCAGCCAGTGCCTGTCTAACCTATTCGGGTCTATCTATGAGAGAGATACCGTCCCAGAAACTGGGTTGAATCGACGTTAGCACCCGTTTTCAACGCGGGAACTCGCAGTAAATGCGAAAACCACAGATGTGTTAGTTTTACCCCTGTTCTGGCAAGGTTTCTGGCGTCACTGAGTCTTCGTCGTCTTATGATGGCACACGAAGCCTTGACTCGTGAGAATCAAGCATCATTTTGACCGGGAAGTGGCTGCGTTGACCACATCCTCACACTCCGCCGGGTGTTAGAGCAACACCACATGTACAGACGACCCACATCCGGGTATTCCTTGACTTCAAGGTTGTGTTTGATTCTATAGATAGCTCAGTTTTCTTAAATACACTTGCTCAACAGGGTATGCCCTAGAAGTTTGTCAACATAATCCGATCCCTATATTCACATAACACCGGGCGGGTGTGAGAGTAGGATGAGCTCTCCAAAAGCTCTCCTACAAAAAAGTGGTGTCAGACAAGGATGTCCACTCTCTCCATTTTTGTCCAGCTTCGTCAGTGGTGAAACCATGAGGGGGACACTGGACGGTCTTCAAAGCCACGGTGTTAAAATTGTTGCTAGTGATACCCTTGTTGATTTGGCGTACGCAGATGACATCGCCGAAATCTTTGAAAACCAAATCGAAGCACAAGCCCTGTTGAAAAAACTGATCAACATCATACCATCTATTGGCATGCGCCGGGCACCCTCAAAGCGCTAAGTCATGCTTCAGACCGTGCCATCTGCGAGCTCAACTCTCACAAATCAACAAGAACCTCTGGAGGTTACGGGAAAATCCAAATAATTCGGTAGCTGTGTTAACTCTGACGGAAGTGTGCCTAATGAGGTCAGTGTAAGAATCTCAAAGGCTCGAATCATGTTTGATAATTTCGTTACTTCCGGCGCCAAAAAATCATCCCACTAGGTTTTGCGGACTGTGTGTACCAAGCTATAGTAAGGGCTGTTTTGATGTATGGGTGTGCGACATGGCCACCGCGGACAGATGATGCGAGGCAGCTTCAGGTTTCCGACCACCACCGCCTTAGAAACATGGCTGTTTTAGGGTGGCACCGACATGTTAGTAATGAGATAATTAGGAAATGGGTATTTGGTTGTGCTGCAGGTACTTTAATCTGGCAGACCGTCCAGCGCCACTGACTAGGATGAATTGGTCGTGTGCTACGCATGCCGAAACACCGTCTTTTCTCGGCTGGAGATGCTGTAATAAATGGCGGTCATAGATGTTAGTAGTGTTTGTGATGTCAGTTCCTCTCCAGATTGCAGGCACCTTAGATGTATGCACCCTAGATTTCCTGACATTAGCCAGCACTAGATTCCCTACTTCACCCGCTCTTTTTCCCTTCTTTTCACTCTAGGGCTCTTAACCTAACTATATATGTACTTAATTAGATTAACCTTGTAGTTGTAGGATAATGAAGCATCGGTGCCAACATTGGTGTCGCTGTCTTTGATGATAATGATAATGATTAGATTTTGACAGTGGTGTACCGTGTGGTTTGAGTAGCCTGGCAGTATCTCAGTCCCCGCGCTTTCTTCGAGTGGCATAGCAGCTAGGTACGTTATGGTTTAACGATTGTCGTTTTTACATATGCTATGCGTCGCGGCCGTCAATGCAAACTAATCCGTTTCATCTCCTGACACTCACGGGGTTGAATCGGAGGATTATGATTGATAGCGGACCATTAACTAATTAACATAGACTATAGGATCTTTTTTGTTTACTAGGCCTCTGATTGTGTAAGATTACCGTGAGCACATCGTCTGCGAAGCAACCAAGGAAGCTACTCCTTAAGATCAAGTCGCGGATCAAAGCATTTTTGGTGTGTATACTGTGTGCTTTATCCATCCGGGTAAAAAGGAAGAGGAAAATAGCTTGGTTCAGTTTTACGGCATCTATAGGAATGATGAAACCGGTGTAGACACTTATTCCTCAGATGAGTTTGGCGCCAAATGTTTGTGCCAATGCCATTCTAAGGGTTGCTTTGAAGATTTCGAAACATTAGTTTCCATCAGGATGCCTGTTCCCGGAAAAGAATGTTGTCACAGTAAATGGTCAGCAAAATTTGAAGGAGCTGCAGCCGTTGAGACGGATATTTGAAAGGAGAGCCCGGGTGGTGGAATTCTCGCCAAATATGCTACTGACAGTCTGGCTAATACATCACCGGGGTGTCCCGCAGACATTTTGAGAAAAAATTAGCCGCCCGCTGAAGTCATACCGCCTGAAGAATAGGAGATATTCCTCCGAAAAATTGTGTGATTTTGACATATTTACCAGCTTGCCAGTGATCTATCCCCTTAGCTCACCCATCGTTTTATCACCGAATGGCCAAGAGGATGCAAAATGTTGATGGATTAACTAGGCGTTGTGTCCGGGTTTACCCCAATGAAAGAGCTGCTCTATTTTGAAATCCTGCTGACTTCCTTGAGTAGATCCCTTG